CAATTTTTTTTTTTTTTTTTTAGTTGTGTTTAACAACAAAAAAAAACGGCTTTTTGTAGCGATTCAGAAAACCGGAAAAATCAGTTATCCGGAATAGCGATGGTCCCGACCGTTCCGGATAATCGGTTCCCTACTGTAATAAGTATCTTTGTGTTAGATTTTGCTTTATATGTTACCAAGCAATTGTACACATGAAAATAATTGTGATGCTTATTTTAAACGATATAGAAAACAAACTTTTCATAAATTCTAAATTGTATAGTACCTTAATTTTATAATTTCCTGTCACTTCTTAAGTTCTTTACCTAGAGCAAGTCCAATCACACCCAGGGACATAGTTATTGGAGGGTAAGAGGAGACATCTGTCCCACATGAAAATAATTGTGAAGTGGTGATTAAAAAAACAAACAAAAATCTATTAAGCAAGATTAAAATTAGCAACTTTTTCTTGCATATTTCTTTTGACATGAATGAAGGAATGTTTTCACTTTAAATATGTATAATTTGCAAAGTAAGTTATTGCTATTTATCATAACTATGGCAAAACTGAGTGTCGCCAAGGGGTTGGTGGAAAAAAGGAAACCCGATCATGACATTACGGTGGAGAGAGAAGAGAGGATCGCAAAAGAACGGTGTTTCTGTCGTGATATCAGGAACGGGGGGAAAACTGAAGTAACAGGTACGGAAGAAAGAAAAAAAAATTCATACAGAATGTTAACATAGGAATAAACTTGTACAAGAGTGAAAAGTCAAGGTCGTACAGAAATAGAAAGTCAAAGATAAACACTTACTTACGGAATATCTATTCAAGTACTAAAATAATATGATAATCCATGTTGAAAATGATACATTTCAACTGTTTATTCGAAATAGCAAGTTCGTCAAAAGTAATAACTTTACATTTATTGTATATTATACTTTTAAGGCAACATTCTTAATAATAAAATATGTAACTACAATATTTTTTTTAAAAAAAATAATGAATTGAATTAAAATTTCACTTAGAAATGTCTAGTTAAACTTCAATTATTTATGGTTATAGAGTTCTTAAAAAATAATTACTTATGCTGAATACATAATACTTTTTTTCCTCAATATATAAACATTATGAGATACAATTTTGATGTTATTTAAACAAATTAATAGCAAAGTAAATGGTGTTTTTTTAAACATAAATTTTGAGCAAAATCATATTAACTCTATTTTTTTTTTTTTAAAGTAACAATAATTAGTAAAAGTAAAGATACATTGCGTCTAAATTATATACGCAATAAGGTTTTTGAAATACAAAGAAAGAAATTTACGTCATTAATGAATATACACTGAGTCAAAAGAGAAGGGGGGAAACATTAAAAACTTTTGTATACAAATCTTAAACTAACGAATAAATGCCTTTGAAATTAAAAAATATAATTATATTTATTACGAAATAGACACTTTTAATAAATTATAAATTCAAATAAACATTCTGCTGAACTTTCTACACCGCCATATTGATGACGTAAGTGAAAAAGAGAGGCTCTCGCTTGTCTATCGAACCAATCAAAATGTTTGTTTAACGTGTTAAGCGGTATGGGGCGCATGTTATCGACAATGTCAACCTTCATCTATGAAAATTTACCCCAACATAGAATCAAGTTAACATGTATTTTTATACTAGTGAACTGGATTTGAATAATTGCAGTTGTAGACACGTTACTCTTCTCCACCAGAATTTTATCTGTGATAGAATTCAATAAATGGATACCACTAGTTGATTCATTGCTGTTTCGTGAGAAGCCTAGAAAGCTGTATTAAGATCACCGGACTTTGAGTGCTGATCGTTAGAGCTGTGTTAAATTCACGGTCGAGGTCTGTTTTGTGTTGTTATTAGCAGCCGAGTGGATAAACGTCAACGCTATGTGCGATTGAGTAGCAACAGCGTGATATGGACGTCACAGTCACAAATAGCACCACTATTCAATGCAGACCATCTATTGAAGTGAGCGTGTCTGTCAAGGTAGGTGTATTCAGATCACGCCCAGGTCACCAATTTTGGGGCGAGTGTTATCCACCATGTCAACCTTCATCTATGAAAAGGTACCCCAACATAAAAGTGAGTTAATATGTCTTTTTATACTAGTGAATTGGATTTGAATAATTGTAGTTGTAGACACGCTACAGGCGGGAAACTGGCCAAAGGATCATGTGATCTGTTTCTTAGAAGAGTTGCATTCCCCCTGCTTCAGGAGAAAAAAAATTCATTAATGTCAGAGTTCATCTTCTAGAAATGACCACTCAACCTCTTCCTATTCAACTGAAGCAATTAGAAATTATCACACAGCCTTCAATGGGATTTAGTGGAAATTTATTACCATTGCAATTCTGAAGTCATGCTTTCATGATTGGAAAAATATTCCCTGACAACTAAATATTTTATTACCTAAATTATTTTGAAAAAGTAATTTCCATAAATAATTAGGATGAGTAAAACTCAAAATATATTTAAAAAAAAATTATAATAAGAATATTCCAACAAGTAAAAAAATATGTATTAAGACAGCGGTTCTCAAATTTTTTCGACTATGGAACCCTAAATGATCCAACTTCTCTCGGCGGAACCCCGATTTTGTGAAGATTTCTTTGTGAAAATTTAAAAGCCCCTCATGTAAGAATTTATAGCATTAATACCCACGAACTCATTTTTAGGGGCACAACATAGTTTAATAATTATTATACTCAATTAATATTTCAACATAATTTTCGCTCAAATAATTTCTCTTTATTAACTTTTATTTCGAATTTTATAAATAACACTTACATTAAGTTTTTTTCTAATGTCGATAGAAAAGGGTTTAAGGATTCAAAATTTAATTTTTTTTCATGGCGTTTTCATAAATCTAGAATTGTGATAGTTTATTAATACCTTATATTACGTCGCTAAAAAGGATCTCAAGCTTCGGGTGGGTGCCAGGAAGAAATTGCGATTGCCATATAATAAATCAATGATATGCCTTTCATTAAAATTACCCAAAGCAATATTTATTCTGGAGATCAAAAATAATGGTTCTAATAAACTAGTTTTAATGTCCACGGACTCGCCCCTTTCGTGGCTTCCCATTTATTAATTTCATACAGCGGATTACAACCTTATAAAGTTTTTGTCAAAAAGAATGAAAATCGTGCATTTGATCGTCGTTGAAGTTTAATACATCCACATAGTGGTTTACCAATCTGCAGAGGACGTTAACCCATTTTTATTACATATGAACTCTTAGTTTAAGAAACTTTAAATTGCTACTTTTAGTTATAAATGTAATGTAAATAAAATAAAATAAATGGTCACGATAGCCTAGTTGGCAGGGCGCTATGAGAACGGGAAGTCGAATCCAGCCGGCCGAAGACTCCCCGTGTAGTAAATGGTGACTGGTGCACGTTAAATCAGTTGGATCACAAAGTCCTCCATATTCTCATAACAAATCAACACCTCTGGGGGTACTGAATTGCAGATTAGCGTTCTCTGGTTCAGGTCAAAATTACGATCCGTGGATGAATGAATAATGGAAGGGTTCGCCGTATAAACGGGCTTGGCAGAAGTTGAATTCTTGGTCATAGAGGGCGCCCCCTCTGCCGTAATGGCCAACGACAACAGGAACAACAAAAAATAAATGACAGAAAGTCAACACATTAAGAGTGATGAAATACGATTCCTCCAAATTTCTCTTATCGAATTCCACAATTTCAATTGAAAAATTCTTAAGTCTGAGAAAATGCTTTTCGATTTGATAAGCCATTTATTTTCTAGTTGCCCTTATTTTTGAAGATAATATCTTTCGTAATTTTCTATTTTGAAAAATTCAAATAATAAATTTAATAATACTAAAAGTTACATTGAGAAGGAGGACACACCCTTAAAATAATCAAATTTTTTTTAAAAATTTTTACATAATAAGCATAGTTCAGAAAATTTTATTATTCGTGTTTACCTGAAACTGAACCATAAAGGAATAATGTTATCTACCGGTAACGATCCGATAGGTTTAATTTCTATTCGGTTGAGTTCCCTTACCGACAGGCTAACAATGGACGGTTTTTCTCTTCACGACAAACACGCGTTAGAAAATTCTTCACGAAATCGAATTTTATCGACTTGGTTAGGTTGCTGAGCTTGATTTATCTTCTAGTAGGTGTAGTTGAAAATTACAATGTTAAGTTTTTAACATTAACAGCTGCAAAATAAAATCTCTATCCGATTAGTGAAAAATTTGAGTTCATGCCTTATGTAGTTTCCATCGTGCATAAGCTACGCTTGTAATTCAGATATAATGTACAAATGGATTTTTTTTGTTGCTTGATTTTGAATAACTAGAGCCAGCAAAATTTTAGGTACATATCTTATTATTAGCATTTATTATGATGTATTCAAACTTCAGATGGAGTTAATAATTCCAAAGCAAAATGATAAATACCGAATAGAATTTCACGAATCAACGTTTGATTATTTACAGAACTCATCAAAATACAGTGTTTCTCATT